CATTTTCAGTCTGGGTCATTTCACTGAGCATGATGTTTTCTGGTTCTATCCATTTTCCTGCCTATGTCATGATTTAATTCCTCCTTACGACTGAGTAAAACTCCATTGTGAATAGATACATCACATTTCCATCCATCTGTTAGTGGACACCTAGGATGGTCCCATGACTTGGTTCTAGCTAATTGCATTGCTGTCCACACAGGTATGTATGGATCACTGTAGTGTGCTTAAATTCATTCGAATAAATACTGAGGAGTGTATTGCTGGGTCATGTGGTGGTTCCATGCCTAGGCTTTTGAGGAATCACCATGCTGATTTCTATAGTGGTCGGACTAATTTACAATCCCACCAACAGGGTAGAAGTTTTCCTTTCTCTTTGCATCCTTGCCAGCATTTATTATCTGCACTCTTAATGATTGCCATTCTACCTGGTGTGAGGTGAAGTCCCAGTGACGTTTGATTTGCATTTCCCTGATTACTGAGGATGTTGAACATTTTTTTTTTCTCACATATATGTTGGCCATTTGTATTTCTTTTTTGAGGCACATTTCTTTAGTTCATTTTACTATTTATTGATTGTTGGATTTTTTTTGTGGCTAAGTTTTTTTTTTTGGGTTCTTTATTCTGAATATTAATCCTCTGTCAGAAGAGCAGCTAGCCAAGATTTTCTCTCATTCTGTAGTCTCCCTCCTCACACTCTTGTTTCCTTTGCTGGGCAAAAGCTTTTTAACTTGATGCATCTCCTAAGTATTTTATTTTTGGCTATCATGAATGGAATTGTTTTTATGATTTCTTTCTCAGCAGAATCATTATAGGTGTATGGAAAAGCTATTGATTTTTGCATGTTGATTTAGTATTCTACTTTTCTGAACTTGTTTATCACCTCTCGAAGTCTTCTGGTACAGTTTTTGTGGGTCTTCTAAGCACAAAATCATATCATCTGCAATCAGTGATGATTTGACTTCTTCCTTTCCTGTTTATACCCATCTTGTTTCCTTCTCTTGCATCATATCTCCGATTATAATTTCAAGTACTGCATTGAATAGGAGTGTTGAGAGTGGACTTTTTTTGTCTTGTTCCTAATTTTAGAGGAAATGTTCTCAGTTTTCCCCATTTAGTATGATGTTGGCTTTGGGTTTGTTGTATGTAGCCCCTTATAAATTCCTTCTATCCCCAGTTTCTTCAAGGTTTTTAACATGAATGGGAACTGAATTTCGTCAAAGACTTTGTCTACATTTGTTGAGATAATTGTGTGATTTTTGTCCTTAATTTTATTTATGTGATGAATTACATTTATTGATTTGCATATGTTGAATCATCCTTGCATTCCTGGAGTGAAACCAATTTGATCATGATGTGTATAATCTTTTTAATGTGTTTTTGAATACAAAATTGATAATTATATTTCAGATTATATTTCAAATAATCTCAAACGACCCTCTGGGTTTTGGTGATGTTTGTGGCGATATCTCCTTTTTCATCTTTAATCTCATTAATTTATGTCTTCTCTCTTTTTTTTTTGCTAGTTTGTCTAAAGTCTTATTAGTCTTTTTTATCTTTTCAAAGAACCAACTCTTTGTTAAACTGATCCTTTGTATTTTAAAAATTATCTATTTTGTTAATTTTGGATCTGATCTTAATTATTTACTTCCTTCTTCTGGTTTTGAAATTAGTTTGTTCTTGTTTCTCTAGGGCATTGAGATATAGAAATAGACTGTTTATTTGGGTTCCTTATTTTTTTTAAATGTAGATACTCATAGCTATAATCTTGAGTATTTATCAATAATCCTCTCTTTGAAAAAAAGAATTTTACTGTAAGATATAAGACATTTATGCAAAAAAAATCCACAAAACAAATGTAGAGCTTCCAAAATTATTATAATGTCATAGTGTCCCAGAGGTTTTGGTATGCTATATCTCTATTGTCAAATTTTTAAATTTATCCCCCCATTTCTTTTATGATACATTCATTATTCAAATGTGTTCTTTTCAATCACTATGTGTTTGTAGACTTTCCATAAGTCTACAAACTTCAAATTTCTTTCCGTTATGAGCCTCTTGATGAAAAGACCCAAGAAAAACTATAATCCTTCTACAGGGTTGAACCTGCATCGGGACCAGTTCTCAGGAAATATGAGGGTGGAAGTACAAGTCAACAGCATGATGAGCGAACATATAGTCAGTAAAATCCAGTTTGTGAAAAACTGTGCAGGTCAAATGTTCTAGGTTCTTTAATACATAAATTGTCAGAGTGAGGAGGGGGATTCATAAAGGTAAAAAGAGACTTAGAAGACATCCCCCAAAAGGAACAAATGAGCAGGTTGAAAATCTCATTTGTAGGTATGTCCAAGTGGGAGATAAAACTCTAAAGAAATTCAAGAACATGATGATAGTGAAAATCAGGGTAATAGTAACATGGGTGATGCACGTTTAAGTGATAAGCAAAAAAGAAAGTCAAGGATGCATTTACAGTAGAGGTCAGGGTATTGGTAAGCGGTGGGGAGAAAGAGGTTATGTTGGGATGGAGGATGTGGAAGGGCTTCCCGGAAAACTGCCAAGTTGTATTTTCTGACCTGGGTGGTAATTGCAATGGGGTAACATTATAATAATTTGGGAAGCTCTACATTTGTTTTGTGTATATTTTTTTGCATAAATGTCTTATATCTTACAATAAAATTCCTTTTTTTTCAAAGAAGGGATTATTGATTAAGCAATGGAACTGAAGAGATGGGTGGGAATGTGTTTTGAGTAGTGATGTAGGAATAAGATTTGAAGATGAGAACTGATATTTATTTTTCTGAAGAAGTAAGAATAAAAAGGAAAGGTGCATATGCATTTGTAGGTACATAATTGCTTTTTGGGTGAGTAGGATGGGTCGTGGTGGGAGATGAGCATAAATGGCATCTAAGGTGACTGGAATGTATAAGAGGAATGATCTTTTCTAAACTCACTCTCCCTGCAGAGTTGTGCAGAGTTCTCCAGCGTTTTTCAAAAGCCCAAGAGTAGAAGCAATTCCACAGATGGCTTTTCTTCTTGGCAGATATGATGGAAGAAAAGATAATAATCAATGTTCTAGAAAAATAATTCATCAATATGATATCATGTGGGGTCATAGATATTACCCAGGAAGACTGAAGGTTAGTGTTTGTTTTAATAGGGTATTTATAGATGACCAAGTGAAAGTGAGATCACTAGAGTGTGCCCTAATCCAGTTTGACTATGTCCTTATAAGAAGGCAAAACTAGACACAAACACAGACATGTACAGAGGAAAGACAGTGTGAAGACACAGGGACAACACCATCTACAAGCCAGGGAATGCCCGAGGCTACCAGAGGCTGGGAGAGAGGCCGGGAACAGAACCTTCTCGGATGGCTCTCAGAAGGAACCAACCCCTTTGGCAACTTGATTTAGAAATTCTAGCCTCAAAAACGGTGAGGCAATACATTTTTTATTGTTTAAGTCACCCAATTTGTGGTACTTCACTCATGGTAACCCTAGAAAACGAATATAGCGTTCTAGAAAAACACTTGGATTTTGTTGATGTGAGGTCATTCAGGTATGATATACCTTATTTCATTGAGCTTGTAATCAAGTGAAGAAAGCACATATTAAGGCGAAACACAAATGCATGAATATAGAATTTTAATATTTTATATGCTAATATACTAATGATGGAAAGGGATCCTATGAGAAAAATTTACAAAAAAGGAACCTAATTTTAGTGGGAAGGTTTAGAAGAGGCTGAGGTCATTGCTGTAAATAAATAAATCTTAGGGTGAAGATGCAGGGGCATGATACAGGAGTCCAGACCATGTGAGTGCCATGCCCGAATGCTTTGGGGGGGGGTACCTATTTGAGAACAGTCAAAGCCAGTAGTTGGCAATGCAATGAGAGGAAGAGGGCGAGGGCGAGGGCGAGGGAGAGGGAGAGGGACAGAGACAGGCAGGGGGAAGAATGAGGGGCTTCGGGATGGGAGAAGAGATCAGGTGTCAGGCACAGAGTCAGGCTGAACAGTTTCTACTGCACCCCTAAAGGAAGTCATGGAAGGGCTTCATTCAGAAGACTAGCTGGAGGAGCCCCACCATGTCTAGTTTTAAATATCATCTCATATATAGGCCTAAGAATCCCTTAAATGTACAATTCATGAGGGCTTTTCACAAGAACCACTTCACTTGACCTCATGACCAACCTCTGTGACATGTAGGACTGAAGGTGTACCCTGCTTAACAGGTGAGAATGCTGGTGTTCTGCAGGGGACATGAGTGCACTAGTCACAGCTTCCTAAGCCCATTCATGCCCAGTCCAGAGCAGGAATCTCACATTCTGGATTCTTTATACAGTGTATAGATAGAGTTGTTATAAAACTTAAAGCCCTTAGGAAACTGTTGACATGGTTAAGGATTTTATCACATACTCTGTGCATAACTCCACGTCACTCAGTGTGTGTCCGCCACATGGGCGTGCCCAGGACTGGGTAGTGAGCATGCTATGCTTTCCAGACTCACGTTGGTGGCATTATGGGGATTTGTTCATGCTCTTTGGGGAAGTTTTATTTTCCAAGAGATTGCAGCTACGCCAGAATCGAGCCAGGCAGTACTTGAATTCTTATGTACGTAGTAGTCAGGAAAAACTGTAAGTTGTGTTGCTGCCATCTCTAATTTGTGTGAACTTGGGAAAGTCATTTAGTCCACCTGAAACTTAAGGTCCTTGTTTTTAAAATGGGGCAGTGACATCTGCCTGAGTTTTTTGTGACTGCTCTCTACGGCACCTCAGCAGGGCCTACTACCGGCTGATCACAGTGTGAATTCAGTTGCTAGCACACAAGGGGCACACAGTGATGGGACATCTTCGCAAACTCAGGACTTTCACTCCTGTATGGCTCAGTGGAGCAAGCAGGTGTTCTTGTCCTGAAGGGTCCGCTAGTCATGCGGCTCCGCATCTCTCAAAGCTACTTAAAGGGCGACTCCCCCTTTGCCTCAGCTGCCTCTCTGTTTGGCCATGAGGAACCTACTTTTGGTCCTTGTGGTCCTAGTCTTGCTCTCCTATGTTCCACCAGGTAACATGGATTCCCTTCCTCTGGAATTAGGAACAGTGAAGGTAAAGGGGGTGTGAGGTTCTAGAAGAGCGAGGCCCAAGCAGGACGAAGGAAGCGGAGAGAAGGAGGGACAGAAGCAGAGATGGTAGTTCTGGGTTATTCCAGGGAGTAGAGGAAGATAACAGGCCCTGGTTCTCTCCAGAGAAGAAGCTGGTTCTGAAGCTTGGTCTGGGGAGTCTGTAAAGCTTGTGGGGAGGTTCGGCTGCTATTGGTGGAAACAGGGCAGAGCCAAACCATGAGACCTCGGGAGGACTGGTAGCACCTAGAAGTGGGAGGGAGGCTGTTTCTTGAGGATTCATAGAACTAGCCCTCCCAAGTCAGCTATCTGGGCAATTTTTCACTCATTTACAAGCCAAGGCAAATATGATGCTGAGCAGAACCTGCAAACAGAGCTGATTGTTAAAACATGTTAAATGAGCTTATAGCACAATAGGATCCTATGAAGCATTATTTTGAGGAGTTAGAATTTTCTTGTTCTGGACAGAAGCAACTAACTTGACAATATCCGGAGGAGTCCACTTAAGGCACTATGGTGGAAGCTCTCAAAATTGTTTTGCTTGTGGTTTTCTCAGATTTGGAGAAAATTCCTCAAACTTTCACATTCAAAAGATACCACTCTGAGGGCCAAGAATGAGGTATTTGAAAGACAATCAGATGAGGATCATGTTTGACCTGCTCCTGTTCACTATGGGAGGCCCTCTGGATACTTTGCATTGTATCTCCACTGTTCTTCTTTGTCCTCAAGAAGTGTTCCAGGGCTAGTGAGCACACAGCAAGCAAGCTTGTCAGTGGCCTTTGATCACACCACATTGATGATTTTCACACATTGTTTATATATATATATATATGAAGTCTCAATCCATGGTCCCATGGGGGCAACTGGTGATAAAGTGATAAGGCTTAGCATATGAATGGGTCCACTCAGAGCCACCCTCATTGCCATAAACTGCCTTCCAGCTGCCCCTACTTTACCTCTTGACTTCCAGAGGCAGCTAGGTCTTAACATCTAGGAAGATTGGGGGCAAGAATTTAGAATTTGTATGTTTCAGATATTTTGAACCATTTCACACTCATTACCCTGCAGGACACTCTTAAGTACTCTGTGATTAAGTCAGAGCAGGTAGCGAGGCCCTTGGCAGAATGCCCTACAGGGGAACACAGGGCTGGAGCCACAGGCTTCTGAAGTATTTGATCAGTGACATTTCCTCTTCACAATAACACTTTGATAATTGTAAATCGTTTTGAGTAGCCCATCCCGACCCTGCCTGCCTCCCCAGGTGGGACTTCTGCATGTGACTTCCCTGGCATCTGAATGATCTTTCCATAGCAAATAGTCCCAAGCTGAATCTGTTAGACTCTGTTACCCACATCTAAGTGGCTAGTGATTTTAGTAATTATGGACCATGGCTCAGAGTAGGGATTCTTGGAAAATAAGGTCTAGGCAACTAGAAAGGATGTATTAAGCCACAAGATGTCGTGGATATCTTTGATCAGACCAAATTTATCAGAAAGAGTTAGGAAGTATATATCCCCAAGTCTTGTCCTTGGCAATGTGACATTATAGGACACTAACTGTGCATTAACACTTGTTTTTGTTTCCAGTTAGAAGTGGGCCAAATGCTTTCATACGACAAATGTTTTCTACATGCTGGCGACTAAAAGGAAGTTGCAAGAAAAAATGTTCAAAAGATGAAGTGTTTCACATTATGTGTGACAATATGTCTTTATGCTGTGTCTCAAGTGCTCATTTACCTATGATGGGTCCGGGGTAGCTGTGAGTTTTCAAGGGTTCCTTCTGATTTTCCCTGGAAACTTAGATTCTCCCAGCGGCCTCAGCCCATTAAAATGATGGTTTCAGCCTATCTGCCGTTTCCCTTTGTGTCTTTTCTATGGAAATAGTTTCCTGATTAAATTCCTTGTCGTCAGTATTTTTCTTTTTATCAATTTGTTATTTATCAGAAATAGCAGATAGATGAGGATGATGGGAACACAATGTCAAGAGAAGGATTCTATAAAATGAGCCCACGGTGGTGGCCCCTGCATGCTTTCTCTTCCAAGAAGCCATTTATCTTCAGCTCTGCTTGGCCTATGTGGACAGAATATGTCACATTCCTCAACTACCTGTTATCTGTGGAGAAATGTAGGCCCAAGGTAATGTTGATGGGAGAAACCCAGGGAGATAAATATAATTCCTCCTAACAATAAAATCTGGGAGAACCAGGCACGGTCGCACACGCCTGTAATACCAGTGGCTCCGGAGATTGAGGCAGGATGATCGCGAGTTCAAAGCCAGCCTCCGCAACTTAGCAAGGTCCTAAGCAACTCAGTGAGACCCTTTTTCTAAATAAAATACAAAATAGGGCTGAGGATGTGGCTCAGTGGGTGAGTGCCCCTGAGTTCAATCCCTAGTATTTCCCCCACCCCTGAAAAAGTTCTGTGAGAATGTGTGGTTAAGAATCCAATTAAAACCACTCAGCACAGGTCAAGATGACCTAGAGTTGCCATGGCAGTGGGTACTTGAAAGTCTGATGTCACCCTGCTGTCAGTCAAAAGTCAAGAGGTGGACCTCTGCAATACTCTCTGGAAACTTCTGTGGGATCCTCAATAAAACTGGAATGCAGGAGAGGCACATTGTCCCTCTCTTCTCTGAACGGACCCACTTTTTCCCTTGAGAGCGTCCTTCCCCCCTTTTCCTGTCCCTTCGATAAACTCATTCCCGTTACCTGAGCGACATGTCAAATCCTTCTGACTTGATTGTAAGAATTGGGTTTAGAAGTTGCGGGGTGCCGGGTGGGGTGTCTCTGTGCTGGAAGGCCCCAGCTCTGTCACAGTTTCAGCCTCTCATGGTTTCTATGTCTGCCATTCCCCTCTGTGTCTTTGCTATGGAAATAGTCACCGAATTAAATTTCTTGTCTTCAGTATTTTGCATATCAGAAATATCTTAAGAACATTTTTGAAGTATAACACCCCATTTAAAAAGTGTAGAAATCCTAAGTAAACATCTTGAGAAATTTCATAGATCTCACACATCTGAGAGAGAAGAGAATTCTACCACCTGCCAGGAGCTCCCAGTCACTGACCCTGGAGGGCTGGGCTCTAGCTGACGCTCTCAAAGCCGTCAGTTCCTTCAATAAACTCACCTATCTTTCAACTTTATATCAAAGGAATCAGTAATGTGTCTGATTTATTCTACTCTACTTTTTTTGGTGAAATTTATTCTTACTACTTCATATGATTGTAGTTTATCCTTCTCAGTATATATAGTTTTATGTTGGGAAACAGACTCATTTTTGTAGTTTCTAGTTTTTGTCTCTTAAAAATGGTTCTGAGGTAGACATTCTTGAACTGATTTTTGAGGCACATACGCGGGCATTTCCACAGATATAAACAGAGGAGTGGAACTGCTGAGTCACAGGCTGAGCATATATTCAATTTTACTAGAGAGATGTTGCCTGATTATCTTCTAAGCTGATGATGGCCAATAAATGCTTCCCACTCACGTTGTCTGAACATTCTTGTTACTTTGCATCTTGGTTCACAGCTGAGATTTTCTGACTTTTTTTTTCAATTTTGGGAGATGTATATTGATAACATATTGATTGAATTTGTATTTCACTGATGACTAATGAAGCCAAGCCCTTTTTCACCTATTTATTGGACACGTAGATACTCCTATTTATGATGTGCCTGTTCAAGACTTCCATCCGTTTTTCTCTTGGTTTAGAGTTTCTGATGGGGGTCCCCCTTCCCCCGTCAGAAACTCTAAACCTTTATGCAAACCTATTGACTATATAGGAGAAGTTAACAAAACTCATCACTTCTGATTATAGTGACAAAACTGTAGATGTAAAAACATCTACATTCCTTATCTACTAAGGAATACTCATGATTTGACATTGAAAATAACGAGGTAAAAGTCATATTGACAATATTTACATTGAAATGTTGACTATGTGGCAGTGCAGTTAGGGAGAGTAGGCAGCGTGGACAGTTCCTTTCTTACCTACTGCAGTCTGTAAACAGGGCTTTTTCTTGACTTCTGTATTTAGTGTTCACTGCCATGAGCTTGTTTGGTCCTTGCGAGTTTGTGGAATAGGGCTCGATAGAATAGGCCCTGGTTAATTTTTCTACCCTTGCCCTCTGTGACACGCTTCCTCAGGCCTCCCGTGGATTTGCAGTGTACCGGGTTGTGTCCCTCATCTTATTCATGTTAGGGCTCTCAGTTGCGTCGGAGTGATCTTGAATGTGTCATGTGTGACCTCCCTAAAAATTGTTTGGTGCTTTTCTTGTTTGGTGTCTATGTTGTTGTATTTCCTCTGCAGCTGCTGCTGAGGTTGGTGCTTCCCTGTCCATGCTGAAGTCCCTCAGCGTCCTCTGAAAGGGTGGCCACATTCCTGGGAGGTCAGAGCCAGCCACACGCTATGATCCACACCGAGCCCAGTAAATATGCCTGAATCAGGCTTCATAAAGTCTGCCCCCATCTTTTTTTTTTAATTAAAAAAAATGTTCATTTAGCAATTTTGACAATCTAGGAAAAAAGTTCTGACTGTAATACTGGATAACATAGACATCATGTTTAAGTAGAAAACACAAGAGTAAAAAGTAATTATCACTGAAAATATTGTACAACTCCAGCTGTTTCCTCCAAATTTGCTTTATATAACTGGATGGATATAAATTAATAAATAGAAATTTAAGCAATATACATTGACAATTTAACAGAACCTGATAATCTAATTTCTTTTGATTTTTCTTGAATTCATTTGAGTATTTCCATCATGGTGCTCATAAGGAAACTGAACAACTTATGGCTACTACAGTTGAATGTCAAATTAAGTACTTATGACATACTAAATTCTTCTATAATACAATTATGAAGAATCTTCAAGGAACTTATGTTTTGTATGTAGAAAAATGCTAGAGTCAAACATTCAACTCAATAAAAATATGAAACATTTCTGATTCTTTTGTTAGGTGAACATTGCTTCTCCTTTTGCTAATGAATGCTTTTTAGCTGTAATATCACTGAGCTGAACAAATCAATCATCTTGGGTACATAAGGAAAAATAAACACATGCCAAATAGATAAACATTCCAACGACAGAGGCCCACTTACTAAACTGTAGCCCAGAGATCTGGAGAGGAGGCCTATCCACCACACTGAAGCCCAGAGATCTGGAGGAGACACCTGCCAAGCGTCCGGATATAAGCTGTGAGCCACCCCCTGCTGGGTTCCTTACTCACCAAAGCCTGGCTCCACAGGCCAACATCAGGGTACATACAGGCTTGAGGCTGCCACCACCATGAAACTGGGATATCACTGCTTCTATCAAGGGACAACAATAAGGACCTGGTAAGACGTCACCAAGGCCCCTGTGGCCTGGCTGCCCCAGAGGTGTCTCTACTTGGGGTGCTAATAGTTGCCCTGTTGCTGAGGTGACAGGGAGTCTTGCATGGGGTGGCCTCTCTCTTGTTTCTCCTACTAACAGCCAGCTTCTTATGATCACCCTCTCACTTGTCATATAATCTAACACCTCCATATTCTCACATCCTACCTCATAAACATCTCAGCCAAGCCCCCAGGTCCCCCTTCCCCCATCAGAAACTCTAGACCATTATGCAAACCTATTGACTATATGGTAGAAGTTAACCAAACTCATCACTTCTGATTATAGTGACAAAACTGTAGATGTAAAAACAGAAGCTAACTGACATATGGCTGCACGTTGGGTACACTGAGTGCTGTGATATTGATCTCTCCCTTAAAGGTGAGGTACTGGTAACTTATAGGGACACTTTAAGATAATAGGGCAGAAGCTGTCATACCTCGGATCTGCACTGCAAGAGAGGAAGACACAGAGACATCATGAAAAAACAAGGGAGGAAAGTGCCCCAAACAAACCAAGATACTACAACAATAGGATCAATCCATGGAGAGCGCAGTAGGTGAAATGTCAGAGAAGGAGTTCAGAACATCCATAGCTAAAATGACCTGGGAATTACAGAACGACCTAAGGGAGCAGATACAGGCAAAAATCGATCACGCCAACGAAGAGATAAAAGAGCAAATACAGGACCATTGATCACACCAACAAAGAGATAAGACAGCAAATACAGGTTGCAAGAGATTACTTCAACAAAGTGTCAGAAATACCGAAAAAAAAAAACACCCAAAAAACAAAAAACAACAACAACACCAACAAAAAAAGCAAAACAGAAATCCTTGAAATGAGAGAAATAATAAGCCAATTAAAAAAATTCAATAGATAGCATCACCAACAGACTAGCTCATTTGGAAGTCTGGACCTCAAACAATGAAGACAAAATATACAATCTTGAAAATAAAGTTGACCTCACAGTGAAGATAGTAAGAAACCATGAAGAGAATATCCAAGAATTATGGGATACTATCAAAAGACCAAATTTACAATTTACTGGGATAGAGGAAGGTTCAGAGATTTAAACCAAAGGAATGCACAATCTCTTCAATGAAATAATAGCAGAAAATTTCCCAAGCATGAAGAATGAACTGGAAAATCAAATACAAGAAGAGGCCACTGAGTATTCGAAATGTGTCTAGTCTTATTTGAGGTGTGCTGTGTGTTAAATAGACATTAGATAATTACTAGGACAAAGAAAATGAATATGAACTATCTTACTAACAATGTACAAAATTACAACAGGTCTACACCGAGACACATTATAATGAGAATGCCTAGCATACAGAATAAGGATAGAATTTGAAAGGCCACCAGAGAGAGAAATCAGATTA